CATTGTTACCACTGTTCAATATTTAATCACTCTAGATGGGTACCCGCGCTCACTGTGGGTGTGCAGACTCCGGAGGGGCTCCTACAGCCCAAGCGCTATCAACAAGGCCTGAAAGCCTGAACAGTATCAATACGAGGCCTGAAAGCCTCCTCACCTCACTCATCATGACCTCACATAAGGCCCTCGGCCTCAATCAGTCCAGAAATAGTCAACAGCCCCTCGGGCAAAAGTAAAGCAATAATACTCAGCTCAAACAATAGTTCAAATATCAGTTTAAAACTCCAAGTTTGAGTAAATATGGCTGAGTTCAAAAAAATAGTGTAAATCACATGGACTGAGTTCAAATATTATTTCAAATAGTAAGGGAAAACAGTGATAACAGTTCACAAAGAGTTCAAACAGTCGGCAGCAAGCCCAAGTACGGCAATGAGCCCAAAACATAGTGAAAACAACAGGTCATAGCTGACACGCAGTAAAATATTATCCGGGCTGGACCAAGTCACAGCCCCCAATAGTAAATGACCCCGCGCTCGTCATTGAACGCGTGTCTCATCTCAACACAGCACCAAGTTGTGCAAATCCGGGGTCTCAAGCCCTCAGAACATCATTTAAAATCATTACTCACCTCTAGCCGGCCAAAGTCTAGCTCGCTATGCCTTTTCCCCTCGGATCGACCTCCTCGCACGTCGAATCTGATCAAAAACCACAAGGATACATCACATAGGCTAATGGATCATAACCCAATCTAAAAGACTCGAAAAATATCAAAAATCACGAAGTTGGCAAAACCCGTGCCCCGGGCCCACTTCTCGAAAAATTACAAAATCTGCATCACCGGATTCCTCGTCTCGCCACGAGTCCATACATATCAAATTTACCAAAATTGGAGTTCAAATGCCCTTTCAAATCCCAAATTTTCATTTGAAAAAACCAAGCCTAGTTCTTCCAATTTTTACCCAAATTTCCAAGAATTAAAGGTTGATTCTTCAAAAAAAAAATGGCGTTTCTAGGTCACGAGACTTACCTCCAATCAATTCCCGTCAAAATCCTCTTCAATTTCTACCAAAAAGCTCTTAAGGTGGTTAACAATGGAGGAAAAAATGAATAGGCTCGCGGATGAAACAATCAATTAAAACCCTTCTGCCCAGGTGCTTTTAACCCTACGCGATCGCGGCCCTAGACATGCGATAGCGATGAACAAATTCTCAGGGATTCAAAAATGTTCTATGCGAATGCAACAGGAGCTATGCGATCGCGGTTAACAATTTCCCAAACCTACGCGAACGCGTCCAATTTTTATGCGAACGCGTAGGATAAAAACATGCTGCCCCAAAATCCTCTTATGCGAACGCGGGATGTACCATGCGATCGCGTAGCTTTACCTCCCAGTGCTATGCGATCGCGACTCAATGGATGCGATCGCATAAGCCAATTTTTCCTTGTGCAACATCTGCTGAAACCTGCAACCTTCAATAGCTAAACTTGGTCCGTTTGACCACCCGAAATCATCCCGAGGCCCCCGGGACCTCAACCAAAAGCACCAACACATCCTAAAACGTTGTTCAAACTTGCTCCAATCTTCAAAACACATCAAACAACGCTAAAACCATTAAATCACATCAGATTCAAGCCTAAGTTTCTTAAAAACTTCCGAATTACGCATTCGATCAAAAACCCAATCAAAACATCTCCGAATGACCTGAAATTTTGCGCACACATCCAAAATCACCTAACGGAACTACTGCAACTCTCGGAATTCCATTCCGACCCCCGGATCAAAATCTCACCCACCAACCGGAATTCGCCAAAATACTAACTTCGCCAATTCAAGCCTAATTCCACACCGGACCTCCAAAATCACTTCCGATCACGCTCTTAAGTCACAAATCATCCCCCGAAGCTAACCGAATCACCGGAAATCACATCCGAGCCCTATAACTCAATAGTCAACTTCCAGTTGACTTTTCCAAAACAAGCTTTCCTTAAAGAGACTAAATGTCTCATTTCCATCTAAAACCAAATCCAATTCAACTCAATCACCTCAAATACCGATAATGAAGCATAGAGAAACATAATATGGGGAAGACGGGGCGGTAACTCACGTGATGACGGGCCGGGTCGTCACATTATAATTCTTCAATTCCCAATTGATAACAAGCGCTTCACGTCGCGTAAGATTGAGTAGGAAGGAAATAAGGGCATAAGCCGCAAAGGAATCAATTCGCACGATGAGGAATCAATAAGGGAAGTGCTCCTAACGGCCATGTAGCCTCCCGAAGATAAGTACAGACGTCTCTGTATCAATCCGCGAGACTCTACTAGACTTGCTCATGACTCGTGAGACCTAAGGGAACCTAGTGCTCTGATACCATGTTGTCACGACCCAAAATCCACTAAGGGTCGGGATGGCGCCGGACACTACTATCAGGCAAGCCAACACTATTTAGCTAGAGATTTCTCGTTTTAGATATTCCTGAAATCATTTCTTTGATACATTTAAACAATAAATAATAAGTTCCACTAAATGAATACTAATATCCTTAACAATTTCAAAATACTGAATAATCCCATAGACATCCCAGAACCCGGTGTCACAAGTGCATGAGCTATCTCTAGGAAATAATATAATACAATAACTGCTCGGAATACAAATAGGGCAGAAAGTAAATATGGAAATCTGAAGGAGACACTGCTGGCTGCGGATTGTCTCGAGAGGTGCAGCTCACCTAAGTCTCCGTATCAACCATGTTGTTACGCCCACAAGGCCGCTAGATATGCATATGCCTGTGCAACAAAAATGCACAACAAGTGTAGCATGAGTACGAAAACAACGTGTACTCAGTAAGTATCCCGCCTAATCTCGAAGAAGTATAGACGAGAGGTACTTAGACACTTACTAATGGTCCAATAATGATAAACCAATAATGTAACAAATTGAGGATTTATATAAACATGATTGTAATTTAGTAAAGTGAAGCAAGTAAGCAATTCTTTCTTTTATAGGAAACTCCCAAATCCCTTTTCATCATTTGTACATTTATTCTCAAACCGGGAAGAAACAATATCACTTCAATAAATTTCAAGGCAAGCAATACTAGCATGCGTAAATCATGCCGAGGACGTACGGCCCGATCCAATAATATTTAAACTATGCACTGCCAGAGGGTCGAATGGCGCGAACCATAGATGCATCTATTACCCCGCTCGCGAATCATACATGTGACGCGGTCAAATATAAATAAATAATCGCCCTGCGCGCGAATCATACATGCGACGCAGGTACACAAAGAATCACATATTCAAACAGTCAATCAAGACATTCATCAAAGAAATAATTATTCAAGGAGGTGTAAATTCCCCTTTTTACAAATCAAGAAAATAAAGATTAACTCTTTTAGAAAATAGTTTGCCTCTTCGATATGATTTAAGCATTTTTAAATTTGTCAACAAGGTTGCATTTATTACAAGTAAGCATGCTTTTGGGTCCTAAACTACCCGGACATAAGCATAATAGTAGCTACGCACGGACTCTCGTCACCTTGTGCGTACGTAACCCCCACAAATAGGAGCACATAACCAATTAACTCACCTATGAGGACAATTCCCTCTTACAAGGTTAGAAAGGAGACTCACCTCGCTCCGAAGTCTATATCCCAATTCAAGAACGTGCTCAAACCTCCAAATTGGAGCCGAATGATCCAAAACTCAAAGTGCTAGGTGAGAACCCTCTTCCAAAAGCTCCAAAATCGCCCAAGAGATGAAAGGAAATGAGCTAAATGGTCTAAGTCTCAAAATTAATAACTGGACACACCCCTCTGATGTCGCATTTGCGACACCAGGTTCACAAATGCGACAAAAGCCTCGCAAATGCAAAGCCTGGCCTATGCTGCTGGGATCGCAAATGCGACCACAGAGTCGCAAATGCGACGTCTGCTAGGATCGCAAATGCGGCAATAGTGCCGCAAATGCGAACACTGCCAGGGGTCGGGCTCCTTCGCAATTGCGTAGCCCTCCTCGCAAATGTGATGGTCGCATTTGCGACCAGAACATCACAAATGCGGCCATACCAGTACCAGCAATCCCATTTCTTAGCAAATCACTCCGAAGCTATCCCGAATCTCACCCGAGCCCCCGGGGCTCCAAACCAAACACCCTCACAAGTCTAAAAACATAACACGTACTTGCTCGAAGCCTCAAATCATATCAAACAACGCTAAAACCATGAATCACACTCCAATTCAAACTTAATAAACTTTAAGATTTCAAACTTCTCCTCTTAGTGTTTAAACCTATCAAATCGTGTCCGATTGACCTCAAATTTTGCACACAAGTCATATTCGACATTATGTACCTACTCCAACTTCCAGAATCGAAATCCGATCTCGATATCAAAAAGTCAACTCTCGATCAAACTTTCCAAAAACCTTCAAATTTCTATCTTTAGCCAAATGACTCCAAAATGACCCACAGATCTCCGAATTCACTTCCGATCGCGCTCCCAACACCAGAATCACCATACGGAGCTATTCCCAGACTCAAAATCCCAAACGGACATAGATAACACTGAAATGCACTTGAACCCAAACTCATGAAATTCTTCCAAAAATGCTAACTTTCACAATAGGCGCCGAAACGTTCCCTGGTCTCCAAAACCTAGTACGGGCATACGCCCAAGTCCGAAATCATCATACAACCTGCTGGAACCTTCGAATCCAGATTCCGAGGTTGTTTACTCAAAAATACAATCTTAGTCAATTCTTTCAACTTAAAGCTTCCGAAATGAGAATTCTCTCTCCGAATCAACTCCGAACTTCCTGGAATTCGATTCCGACCATGCGTACAAGTCATAATACCTGAAGTGAAGCTACTCAGGGCTTCAAATCGCTGAACGATACTCTAGAGCTCAAAAAGATCGGTCTGGTCGTTACACTTGGTATCAGAGCAACAAGGTTCTTGATCCGATCTTTCTTCTTCTTCAAGCTTCTTAGCAAATCTCTCTAATGGCAAACTCTGATTTTCCTTCTCCTTCAGCTGTGGATTCTGGTTCTTCCACCACTACTGAGTCTTCTCAGCCCACTGTCACTAATGACTCTTCTCATCCCTTTTACCTTTACCCATCTGACTCACCAGGGATGATCCTATTTAACTCAATCTTCGATGGTAAGAGTTATAGAGGTTGGCACAGGGCTGTATTCATAGCTCTCTCAGCCAAGTACAAACTTGGATTCATAGATGGATCTATCACTGGGCCAGCAACTTCTTCTCCTTCTTTTAAGGCTTGGAATAGGTGTAATGACATGGTGATCTCCTGGCTATTGAACTCACTCTCCAAAGAAATTGACGAGAGCGTTCTCTATTCAAAAACTGCCAAGGAAATATGGAAGGAGCTGGAGGACAGGTTTGGGCAGAGCAATGGAGCTCTCCTTTATCAACTGCAAAAGGAACTTAGCGACTTAGTTCAAGGAAATTCTGATGTTGTTGGATACTACACTAAGTTCAAAAGAATCTGGGATGAATTGGATAGTTTTGATACCTGTGTCTATTGCAGTTGTGAATGCTCTTGTGGAGGAAAGAGCAAATCTCTCAAATCTCAGCAAGATGGTAGGCTCATTCAGTTTCTCATGGGACTGAATGAGGCATACTCTAGGGTAAAGAGCAACTTTCTGATGGGATCTCCACCTACCAGCATCAATCATGCTTATTCTCTGTTAATCCAAGAGGAGAAACAAAACGAAATTCGATGTTGCTCAACATCCAGTTGACTCTACTTTCATGGCTGCAAAACAGCAGTATGGTGCCCAGAAATTTGTTAATACAGAGAAGAAGGGAAACTTTGAAGGAAAAAGAAACAATATCATATGCAACTACAACAAGAAACCTGGACATACAGCTGAAAGGTGCTACAGAATCATTGGTTTCCCTACAGACTTTAAGTTCACTAAAAACAAGAGGTTTCATAATGGAGTACAGGGTAATGCTGTACTCACAGCAGATGATAATGCAAATCAATCGGTGGCTAATGCAGAAAGGGGAATTACTCAAGAACAATACAATAACCTCTGTTAGTTGCTTCAACAAGTCAAATATGCACCTCAAGGAGAGATAAGTTCTGAGGTTAATGTCACTGCCAATTATGTTGGTATACCTTCACATTCCTTCTCTGATGTTTCTAATTCTGTTCTTTGGATTTTAGACTCAGGTGCTTCTGAGCATATGACATGTGATTTTACTCTTTTATTCAACATCCAAACTCTAATCAAGCCTGTTTTTGTCAATTTGCCTAACTCATAAAGGGTCAAAGTCCATCAGGCTGGAAGCGTACAAGTCATGCCTAATCTTACTCTAATTAATGTTCTTTTTGTCCCAAGTTTCAAATACAATATTTTGTCAGTTCATAAGTGTGTAAACATGTTAAATGTCTTCTCATTTTTCATGATCTTGGTGCAATTTTGCAGGCCCTTTCAATGAAGGGGTCAGTGGTTCTTGGTAAAGAAAAAAAGGCATATATCTACTCCACTCCATCAAGCCTAATTCCAGTTATTTGAATTCAAAGATGGACTTATGTCCAACTTTTCTCTGTTGTAATAGAGCTAAGTTGTAATAGAGCTAGTACTCAGTCTTTAGTTTCAGTTTTATCTTCTACTGCTTTCTCAACTATTGTAAGCCTATGGCATGACAGACTTGGGCATTTGCCTCACTCTAATATGAGAAATATTTCCTCTATTCCTTGTTCATCCTCTTCTAATTTATTTGATCACTGTGATATTTGTGCAAAAGCCAGACAAGTTAAATTACCTTTCCAGTCCAGTTGCATAACAACTAAGGCAATTTTTTATCTAATTCATATAGACACTTGGGGACCATATAGAGAACCTACTCATGATGGTTTTAAATATTTCCTTACAATAGTTGATGATTTCAGTAGGTATACTTGGATTTACCTCCTAAGCACTAAATCAAATGCTTTTGCTATGCTAAAACATTTTCATGCCATGGTAGAAAGACAATTTGCAAAGAAGGTTAAGATCATAAGGTCAGACAATGCCTTAGAACTTGGGAGTAGCCTGGAAACATCAGCTTTTCTATCTTCTCAAGGAATTATTTATCAAACTACTTGTGTTTATACCCCACAACAGAATGAAATAGTGGAGAGAAAACACATACACCTTTTAGAAACCTGTCGACATATACTTCAATAAAAGTTGTGTGATGTACTGCACGTTTAGACTAAGCTTGTTATGTTTTTGCTTCCAGATTCAGAAAATTAAATAAAATAATTTCAAGGTCAGTCATGTCACACCTTCTTTCTTTCTTAATTATTATTATTATTTCCTTTTTTGGGAGCTCCCCCCCCCCCCCCCCCCCTTTTCTTTTGGAAAATTCCCAGGAAAATTTGTAGCCGTACTCTTCGGGTGCGCACTGGGTAATAACTTGCTGACTATGTAATAGCCCGCAAATAACACATGAGGTGTAAACCGCACAGCAGGGTACGACGAGCTCTGACTGAGGAGGCAACTGGTGAAAGGTATCGCAGTAATGGTTGGTGAACGAATTGAAATTGTAATTAACTGCTTAACGATTTGGGGGCGGATTACTCAATTTCCTTATCGGATAAACTGTTAATCCGTTAAATTTTTTTATATTTAAACTTTTATACCTATGTCAATTTTCATCCATTTCTTCTTTATTATATGGAACATTGGCCTTCATCTGATGGAAACTTAAAAAGGAAAGGTACAACATTTATTCCGAAAAGCTAGAGAACTCATTTTTTAAAGAATTTCCTTGGATCGGTGATAAATTAGAGTGCATATGCTTAAGCCACAATCTTGAACTATATGATCAGCAAATTATGTTAATCAACATTGCCATATAAGAGAAAAAGAGCTTTATTTTACAAGAATTGTCTATTGAAATCGAGAAGCCTATATCTCTCTGTACATGAAATTGTTTTTAGCAGCATCGCTAAAACCAACTGGATTATATAAATGCTCGACTAGATAGAGGCGAGCACCGAGCAAATGTAATGCTTTACTCCAAATTTTTCCTTATCTCTAATTCTAAACTTCTTTTTTATTGTCTATTTGATTTAGCCGATAAACCGCCCGATAACAACCCGATAATCGCTAGTCCGATACCAATTCACCCGATATCTTATTGGATAGCTAGCGAATTACTACATTTATAAACTGATAACCGATAAGCTAAACCGTTAACGTAAATATCCGCCCGATAAGCACCCCTAACTCTGATAGTGTCATTTTTGCCATCACCACACACCAATAACTAAATAAGTCAGCAAAGTTTTAACTACATTATTAAGGATCATGCGCATAATTGTTGCAGTAAAGTTTGACTATAGAAGAGAAGACATGCATTATTATTAGCTTGCACTTTTTTCTTCTTTTATGTGATCCATATATTTCCACATGGGCTACAGTAAAAGCCGTGTGATGTACTACAAGTTTGATTAAGTTTGATGTATAGTATTGCTTCCAGATTCAGAAAATAAAAGGAAATAAGTTTGACACATTGAGAAATAAATTGGATGCGTTATAAATAGAATTCTATTTATGGTGAATGTCCATATTTAGAGAGATTCTAGGGTTTATTACTTGGTGGCTAAGTCACCCTCTCCCTATAAATAGAGGGTTCTATTCCATTGTAATTCATCACAAAATCAATAAGAATTCTCTCCCTCTACTTTTCTCTACACTATTCTTCTTCTTCTTTTATTATTTTATAACACGTTATCAGCACGAGACTCTAACCAATTGAGTAGAAGCTTTGGGATTGAGCATAATGATTGTTAATAGTTCTATGAACTTCCTTCATGATTAAATTTCGGATTTAAGGTAAGTATTTGACCGTATTTTTTCNCTTTTATTTCTATACTTTGAATTTTTATATACAAGCAAAGACAACAAAGTTTGATTATAACTCTAATGGAGTTTGTAAGAAATTACAACCACCTGAAGTGGTAAAATTTCTATGCCTTGCCATGATGAAATTCATGTATGATTGTGGGCAAACTATTGAAAACACGTCCCATTGAATTTGCTCCATTCTCATTCCCTTAAGAGAATGTGATAGCAGTATGTGATAAGTCTGAAAGAAGACAAAATTATTACTATGAATGTATCAATGGATGGTGGACGTGGCAATAGACGAAAATTAATATCGTCATCATTGTGATAAGGAGAATAATAAGGATTCTCAAAATAATCTTTCATTTTGTGAATGTAATATTTGTCATTGATTTGACATGAGATTTTATAAAGCGCATATAGATGATTATGGTCCATTCATTGATGTGAATGTGACAACATCTGATTTATAAATACATATTCATTCTTGGAAGAATATGAACGTGCTAGTGGTAGTAAATATACCACACTCACCTCTAGAAGGAGGTTTGAGATGATTAAGAAAATAATGTCATTATTATGGCATGAATGGTCATTGGTCACGTACCTATTGTACGCCAAAATATTTTGGTAATGTGATTATTAAAGAATAACATTAATGCAAGAAATATATCTTGTATATAATTTTGACCATAACCATAATTGGTATAACTTTCTCTTTAAAAGAGATATCACCACATAGATGTTTGATTAAAAATCTGTGGTAGTACAAAATTAACTGAGAGCTCTGGAAGAGCCAATTATTACTATTTTGGAGAAACACAATTAATTACCAATAAGGTATTGTGTTGTAGTAAGTCTCAAAGAAACTTATTCAGTTTCCAAAGTATACGCGAAAGCGGTTGATTATACTGAGACTATAAATAAAGGAAAGATTTAATATCTTCTATTACTACAACTTGTAGCGGGGTAATATGTATGTGAAAAGCTACCCGCTTTATTCTTCAATTTGTACTACATAAACAAAAGAATACCACAATGAAGTGGATATTTATTGATATAAAAACCCATATCATAATAAACTTGGAGTTTATTGATAATTGCACACGTCATGGTGTAAATCTGAAGTTTATCAATATTGATAATTTATCCAGTTGGCATAATTGGTTTAGCCATGTTAATTCAAGTATGATGTGAAAAAATAAAAGAGAATTCACATGGCTAAATATTAAAGAACTAGAAAGTTCTTTACGAATTCTCTTACCTTGCTTGTTCTCATTAATTAATAGACCAATTAAAATTGGGATTGAATCCCATGAATGCTGGAAATATCAAAGGTGAATATGAGCCCATTCACCTGCCATGTATACCACATAAGATGCATCTATGAGATGGTTACATGTGCGATTATTATTAATCCGCAACATGGTGTTTTGCGAGGTAATTTGCTCAATAATTTAATTTCGAGCATAATTTCCAGATTTTCTATTCAAGATAGTTTATCCTGATAAGTTGGTTTACATCACAGTTGGTTTAGCAAAATGATTTATTGAGTGCATCCACTTAATAGCTAAACTATTGCTTGTGAGAACAAAGTTATCTATATCAGTTTGATATAGGCTATATACGAAAGTATATTACATTCTCCCCTCACAAGTGGTTTCAGGGTCAGGAACCAAATAATTCCATCTCATTATTATTGATGTGCGGTGTATATTTTGATTAACACCATAACGCACAAAGGTGAATTCTCAAAGTTGAGGTAACAAGTTAGTTTTTCTAACATGAGGGGGAGACATGATAAACAGTTGAGAAAAAGTTATGTGGAATGAATTATCATTTGTACATCTAGATCCTCGAATAAGATAATATGAACATGAAGTTCATAAAGGATA